GGCCGCCAGTGAACAGCTAGTCGACTCGAACGATCCCGCGTCCGTCCACGCTCTGGAACGGACCAGAGTACGGACAGAGTCGTGCTCGAAAGATGAACGAATCGACGACGAACCGCGAACCTTCGCCGGAACCAGCGATTTTGACCTCGTGACCGTTCGCGTCGACCTCATCGACTCGCTCGAGGATGTCTCGACGGCGAACGTAGTACGATCGTCTTGTGCTCCTCTGTCCGATCAAGCCGTCGCGAAGCCTCCGAACGACTTCCAAGGAAGATCAACGAGCAAGAAGAAAGTGAAACGCAAGGGTTATCGAGACGTTCGAGAATCGAAAGGCTCGAAAATGAAATTTACCCTGAGGATGATCAGGATTCGCGATAAACTGATGCTAGGGCTGAGCGCCTTCGCGATATTGTTCACCGTGCTGTTGGTGATGGACCTTCAGATGGATCTGGGTTACAGTGGACACCATCTGGTGCCTAGTCACGGACGCGTTAGAATCGGCGACGATCCTAACGCGGACACCATTTATAACACCTTTCGACGGAAGTTCCTGCAACGAACGAACGCTAGCAAGGAACAAACGGCCGATGCGGTTGCCACCGCGCCGAGTAGCGGAAAGGTGTACGGTAACGACGGTAAAGAGTCGAGAACAGAGAAGAACGTCGAGGTGCACGACAGTTTTCCGGATTTAGTGGACATTGTGGTGAACGGTTACGGTGTCGGTGCGTACGACGGTGTGGCCAGGATCAGCGGTGAAGATCGTTCCAACAATCCTACGCTGGGGGAGTTGAAAAAAGTCAGCCCAAAGTGAGTAGATATTTAGATTTCTCTGGCACGTCGCTTTAGACATTACCGGCAACGTACTATCGAACGTAAGAGGCGCGGTATGCGCGACGAATCCGTCGTAATTAACGTTGAACGCTGATATCAATTTGTCTGTAACGTCTGTCGGTGGTATCTTAGAATTTCCTAGAATCGCGTTTATCCGTAACTGGGTCATCCGTTATGTCTATCGATATTTCGTTTATCTCGAACGAAAGGAAATAGAGCGAAACATTGTTAAACGAATATGTCAATTACGGTATCGAGCGAGCGAATCAATTGGCGTCGCGTCGTTTCTCTTGCCCCGTCGTACGTAACTCCGAATATAAAAGCGACCGCTGATTACGCACAGTCAATAACAATTTAAGAATATATCGCGCCCCGATACGCGTTATTTCGGTTTTATATTATAGCGGCAGAATGGCTCTTATACCGCTCTTATATCGCTCTTATACCGCTCTTATACCGCTCTTATACCGCACTTATACCGCGCACAGCGAAATCTCTTAATCGTGTTCGATAACGACGATCGGCGATGAAAATTTTCCGTTGTTATCGTGGTCGGCCAGTGAAAATATCTGTTCCCGTTTCTACGTAAGATAAGGGAGCTTTTCGGTGGTTGGAACGCGACACCTAATTAACCGGAACAACGTCGAAAGTAACAAGTTTAAATCTCGCCGCTGTCGGGCATCGAAATCTCCTAAACCGATTTCACGAACTTTCCACGGAAACTCGTTGTTTTTTTTTCCCCCGTTCGCTCGGTTGGAAAAGTTTCTTTTACGTCGAACGAGAAGCTCGGGGGAAAAGCAATCAGTTGAAACAAGGAAAATCGGTTTGACTTTGAATGGTCGATTGAATTTTTCTACAAAAGATCGTTCGTTGAAAATCTATACCGTAAGTTGGAATAATTCGAGACGCATTCAACATTTTTCGGAGCATATAATTATTTATCGAGGATCGACCGAGAAGCGAAAAGGCTCGAATGGAAATAATATCTTCCTCTTCTCGTTTCTAAACGAAAGAATTGTAGTTTCGAAATCGCACGAAAAGGTCACGAAAGTGTTAATAGCGATAACTCTGAACTCCGAGCGAGGTCACTGGTTTCCTCTCAAACAATTTGCAGGGAAGTAGAGCAAAGTATAGAGAAAAGCAGGACGCATCTCGGATTCGTAATTCGTCCAAGACGCGAATTGCTCGCGTAATCGCGCCGATAAGAAACGCCGCGATATCTCGAATACGGATGCTATTCTCTTAGTCCCGTGTCGATCTCCGTGGCATTTCTCTTATCGGAGAAATCGCGTTCTTCGAATTCGCCGAAAAGCTTTACGTCCTTTTTCTTCGACGAGATTAGCGTACTGGTAATTTTCGCGTTAGTAATTAGTATCGTATTTTATCATTAATCGTCGTTCCACGAGGCAAATCGAAATAACTGGCACGTACGTCTTGGAACGCTAATTCACCGTGTTTAAGCAATTTTATTGCCTGGCAAGCAAATATCAGTTCTGTTGCAGGAGCTTCGATACACAAGCGCTCGTATTAGGATCCACTTGGCAACCGTGTGTGTAGGCGCGCGCGTTGCGTGTTCTCGCGCATAACCAACCTCCGCTAGTACGGGCAGGTTGTCCAACGGCAAATGTAATTATTCACGGCTGTGTTTGCATGGATGGGTTCCCATCGACCATAGATCGACGTCCGAGCCCTTTTCACTCGTCCTAGGAAAAACGTGAAAAACGTGAAAAACATGTTCGCGTGATTTCCTCTGTTTCTTTCTTCTCGAACACGTTATTCTCTCGTAAGACCTCTCTTGCCGGTAAAACGTTAATCGACGATTCGATTAAAGAGCGGCCGAAATTAATTAGCGAGATCCCTATTCGTTCGAATTTGTTGGCTCGGTAAAATGGTCTTTGAACGCGAACGCATTCTCGTCGATTACCGTGGTGCTCTCTTGATCGTGCGAATCTTCGCCGTTCGATAGGAAATACCAACATTCGCGTACCACTGATTTCCGTGTCGATTTTATCCTCTTTTCCCTTCCTTTCTCGCTTTTTCGCTCTTTTCATTCGGAACCTAATTCGTCCCGGTCCGAAGCACGCGTAATTGTCGCGGACAATGAGCGCATAGCCAATCGACGATTCAGACCGCATTCGATCGCTATAATCTGGAAGGGTTCGATCAAAATTAGGACGTCGTCCGTTGATTGAATTGCCGAACGGTACAACGTTTCTTTTCACTTTGTTCGCTTTACCGTCGAATTAATCGAACGCGTTAACCGCGTACTATCGAAATTGTCGTTGATGATTAAAATGAAAAAAATTCCCGGAATATCGACGAAATTTCGCTAGCGTTTCGTTTCGTTTCGTTTCGTTTCGTTTCGCTCGAACGAATGGTCGCGGAAAAGCACGATCTTGGCGTAAATTTTCTCCGAACCGATACGACGTAATAATAGACGATATCGTTAATTCTGAAAAAATTCATCCGACCGATTCCGGAGAGAATCGAAGTAGTTTAAAAAGGCAGGCCGGACGGTCCCCGAGGCGTATCTGCAAAAGTTGACTGCGACAGACTGAATTTTTCATAGCGTTTCTTCGATCCCGGAGAACACAAGGACACTTACGAAAGGTGACCGAACTGCTCGTATTATCGAGCGTCTGGCATGGAAAACAAGGACTAGCATATTTCCCCGAAGGTTGTGCACGCTATAAGCTCGCTCGTAAGCCCGGGCTCCTCGTTCCCGCTAGATAGATAGATAGACAACTGTAGTGACCCTGCTATCCAGGGAATACGCGGCATTGTTTCTTGCTGCACAAGCGTCGACAATAGCTTAATGTCTCCGTTCAGGATTTCGCCTCGAATAGACGCGGCGCGTTCGGCTACGCCGACGAAACGGTCCGTTTACGGGGGGGGGAAATCGAGTTCCGAGAGTTCTTGGAGCAAGTTATAAGAGAGTGGCGAAAATTCGAGCGACGATAGATATTCGTCGTTCGGACCCCGTCGTGGCGAATGTTGCAAAACACGATACTCACCGTTACAAAGTTCGCGAGTTTAATACTCACGGTTGCAAATTTCCCAGCAGTTTAATTATTGCAAAACGTTGGAATCTTCTCGCGCGTTGGCCGAGGTTAAAAGCTCTCTACTCGCCGTTCAACGTTTTCGCTCTTGGAAATTTTGCAAATTCGATATTCACCGTTGCAAACTTTCAAACAATTCGGTTAACGAACAAGTCTGGATGCTCGTTTGAACTCGGAAGTTGTTCGCTCGTTGTCCGATAATCGGCATAACAAATTCGACAAATTTTCAAGCAACATCATTATCAAGGAGCATCGAAAGGTTCCGATGCTCGTTTAAATTGCAAATTTGCAATTTGGATCGTTTCCGTGTCCACGAGCGAAAGTTGGAAAAATTTCTAAACTGTCGGAGAACACGCTTAACACCCTTCTCGCTTCCAAATCCCTCGTTCGCGAAACTTTGTAACGAGCAACATTTTCTAAAATCAAACAGCCGGTAATATCGCTGACCACGCGAATATCAAAAGAGAGAGAGATAGTTTACGATAGTCGGAGGGAAACGTTAATTAGCTTCCTGAACGAAGAGATTACTGTTCGTCCAGGAAAATCAGGTTTTCACGGTCGAGCGTGTAACGCAAGCAACGCCGATCTCCCCTCGAGCGTATTCTTACGCTGGAAATTAGTCGTCGCAAATTACCGTTATGAATGTACACATTATTACTCGCGAACGTACACGCGTATAATAGCCTGTAACCAAGAGAATCGTGTACACGAGCGTACGAGGGAGATCGTGCAGCAGCAGCGTGTGTACACGCGGGAACAAACAAGCGCGTGCATCATCGGCGAGAGGAGCGGTTTAGCGCGCGCGTTCTATCGATTGATCGACGGAATTTTCAAAGACAGAGGGTAAACGTCGCGTCGGCAACTTGAGAAGCTTACAAAGACCGCGGAATCTCTCGGCCGAGAATGACAGAGGTATTCGAATCGGGAAGCTTTGTTTGTCCGGGAATAATTCATCGTCTCGCGTAACTCGCTCGGCTCGTCCGACCGAATTTCACCCGGATTTCGACCGAATTTCTCTACTTCCATAATTCTGGTCGGATCGGTTTCGCTCGTATTTTTATGGGGATTCTTCTATTAGAAATGTTATCGGGTCGAAAAACGCTTGCGTAATTACGAAGAAAACCAGACAGATCGAATCGAATAGCTGGATTTTCTGGGTTTACCGGAAATACTGGTCGAACGTTTGACCCGTATCGAAATAGATCTCGTTCCGAATCGATCTTTATCCAACGTCGAAAAGTTGACTGGTACGTTATTTAGGCTGGTGACAGACATACCCGGAAATTGACTACTTTCGAAACTTACTTTTATAACGGGGCTGCTGTCGCGGAAAAATCGCGAACGCGATAGCGTTCTCCGAAGAAGGAGAACCAGAAGAAGAAGAAGAACGGGGATAAATCGATCTTGGAAGCAAAAGAGGAAATTGAACTGGGTGGAATTTTCAGATTAGATAGCTCCGAACTGTATCGTGGACATTCAAAGAAAATATCGAGCACGAAAGTGATTCTTTTTTTTTTCTTTTTTTCGACGACGCGAACGTTTGGCTCGCGAACGTATCGGCTTCGGTCTGGTATGCAGGTAAAAATATCGATATAATTTTACCTTGATCCAGAATCGCTCGAATCGTTAGTCCGAACGAAAATTGGTAACACGAAAACGGTGATGAAGCGATAAAGGACTGTAGGTATACGTACGTATAAACAATTTGACTCGATTCCTCGATACATCGTGTTCGTGACTCGCGTTTATTACATTTGAACTCGTAACTCGTATCACGCGATATCACGCGACACGTAACTGGACGTTGTAAGGCAAAGGGAATAATTTTTGTAAGTTCGCTTGGCAGTTGGACGTCATTAATCAACGAGCCCTCGATTCGACAGAGCCAGCAGTGATTTAGAATATCATTGAAAAACT